TGGCAGTTCAAACCCACCAGCCACTCCACAGGAGGAAGGTGAGGCAATCTACTTCCGTAAAAATTTATTCCTATAGATTGCAAAGAGATGGAAACAACCTAGGTGCCCATTAACAGAGGAATGTATAACCAATCAACCAACAGAACTGTGGTACATGCATATAATGGAATACTATGGAACACTAAATAATGTAGAATTCATGAAACACTGCATAACATGGATGAACTTGAGAACATTATACTGAGTGAAATAAGTCAATCACAGAAGGACAAATATTGTATTAGCCCATTATTGTAGAAAGTCAAGGAAAGGTTTATATATGGAAGGAAACTTTCTGTGTTGGTTACCAGGGATTGGAGGAGGGGGACACTGCTAGATAGGTAGAGACAAGTACTGATTTAGGTGAAGGGAAAGGCAATATACCAAAAATGAGTGACCAACACAATAACACTAAGGAAAAAAAAGACACAGAGAGGTACACAAAAGCTACAGACAACAAAGATAATCCCTTTCACATATACAATACTGAATTATCAGTGATAACAAACAATCTGTGGGTAAATAGATGGTAGACAGGCTGAATGATCAGGTATGTCCAAGCAAAAGGGAATATACCCATGACCATACATAAGGCTGGCAGACAATTATCTCCACATACATATATGTGTGTGCTATAAGAATATCCATATAATTAGACATAAGAGAGGGCAAAGTTAGGATAACTTCCTTAGGCACAGTCAACTAACCTGATGGAGTGAGACAGATGTTGGACCTGTGGGCTCAGGACCGTGGTCGCAGGGGACACCAAGCTTGAGTGGCATGACATACTGCACAAAAACACTGTTCTCATCATGGGAGAAATGAGGGCTGTTTATGCACAGGGAGACAGCTCAGGGGGCAGGGGTGCATGGAGGGATGGACATAGGGAAGAGGTGACTGTCGGAAGAAGTGGGAGGGAAGCTATTGCATTGTGGTGAATTTTAGTCAATGTCATGAGACATAGTGTATGTGAACTGCTGTATGGAAACTGAATTTGCTCCATAAATTTTCACCCAAATCACAATTAAAAGAAAAAAAAAAAAAAACAACTGTTCTACATTCTACTTTGGTGAGTAGCAACTGGGGTCTTAAAGCTTGCAAGTGGTCATCTAGATGCAACAATGGGTCTCTCCTTGTCTAGAGCAAAGAATGAAGAAAACCAAAGACGCATGGAAATAATTCGTCCGAGGGACTAGTGGACCACATGAATCTCAGCCTATATGACCATGAGACCAGAACTAGTTGGTGACTGGCTACCATTGTCAACCACTCAGAAAGTGATCAGTGCAAGATTCTGGATAGAGTGGGAGAACAATGTGGAACTAAACTCAAAATCATAAAAAACACCAGCTTTACTGGTCTGATAGAGCCTGGTGAGACCCCCACAACTACGGACCCTAGTTACTCTTCAGCTCTGGAACTGTACTCACTCCCATGGCTTCCAGCCAAACAGACAGGCATATAGGGTAAACATTTACATCTGTAGGTATACTCCTTTGAATGATCAAGCATGGGAGAACAGAAGGGCAGTATTTGCACAGAGAGACAGCTCAGGAGACAGGAATGCATAGGAAAAGAGGACACAGGGAAGAAGTAAATCAGGGGGAAGTGGAAAGAGAGCTGTTACACTGTGGAGAACTGCAGTCAATGTCATTAAACAAAATGTGTATGAATTGCTGTATGGAAAATTAATTTGATCGTAAACTGTCACTGAAATTGCAATAAAAATTGGGGGGACAAAAACGTCAAGGAAAGGTTTATATATGGAAGGAAACTTCCTTTGTTGGTTACCAGGGATGAGAGGGGAGGGGAGGGAAAATTGCTACAGGAATTTTTGATAAAAGGGAAGCTGCTGACATGACTAAAAGAACATTATGAAGGAAAATGGGAGCATGAAATTAAAAACATCTATGAAAAAGCCACACCAATAATACAACTGTTTTACTGAGCTCATTTAAAGATTATTCTGTTCAGTAAACGTGGAACTCTTTTTACTTTTTCACATTATTAAGTTTAACAGTAAATAAAATGTATTTCCAAAGTTTTGCACAATATTAATTGGCAAAACACAATAGTGTAGTTAGTTTGGAAAGACTCTACTTAAAAGAAAGTCCAAATGAATTCTACTCAGGAAGAAATACACTAATAGAACTTTACTTACAATCCATTAAGTCTTTAAGCTATGAAGGTTTATCACTCAAGCTACCATTTCTTTGTGCGTACATTTAAAGAGCCTTTTGGAAATGGATTAAAAGTCTTTGACTTTTTCAATTGGTTGACAAACTCTTGAGAATACTGAGAAATCTCCATACATCCCGCATGTTTTCTCCTGGGCACAAACTTCAGAGCCTCTTCCCAATTCCCAGTATTTTTCAGACATAACAAAATGCGCATCATTTGGTCTAAGGTGAGATTTTTGCTCCCAGTTTCCCACTGTAAATATTTATCTAATGGAAGGCGTTCTGTTGCCAGCTTCAGCCGTTTTGCATTGGCTAGAGATATGCCTGGCTGCATATTCTTATCAACAAAAGACCCAATAATATAAATTTTGTCATGCTTAAAAGTAGTCATAACATTGGGAGAATCTGCAGTTAAATAGATAACACTGTCCTTTGGAAATAAATCCACATGAGACTTTTCTGTTGCTGTTAAAAGCAATTTGTCCCATTTCTCTCCATAGCGTTTAACTAATTCTCCGTAATAACCACCATCTTTCTTAAGATTGCAGAAATAAATATGGAAAGGATCAACATTTCTTCTGTTGGATCCCTCACTTTCTAAAAGTTGGGAAACAGTATTCTGCAGTTCTTTTGGTTGCATATAGTTCTCATAAGCCATGTCAAAGACTAAAGGCTGTCCAAATTGCATGGCCTGTGCACCTTTCCAGCCCATTGCATTGTCCATATTCCTATTCCAAAGCCGTAGAAATAGAAAGTTTTGCTGTTTATCTTCCTCAGTGGTTTCTAGCAGCTTGGTTTTTTCTGCTCCTTCCTTTGCTGCTGCTTTCATTTCCTTTTTTATTTGCTTAGCTTTTTTCATTTTTTCCTTAACATATAAATATTTTAAGTACTTCCTTTTTGATGATTTAGAAGCACTTTCCATAATGGTTTTGAGATCTTCGTCACTGATGTGTTCTGGTACTTCTCTGCCAAGCAATCTCCACATCTCAATTAATTCTCTTGTGGCGGCTAGAGAATCTTCATCCTTGCTGCTTGAGACTGCTGAAACACCTTCTTGAGTGACCACACTAGATTTCATTGTAATTTTCCACCCATCCAATTCTAGTTGTTCAGAAGATGTTCTCTCTTTGTCAGGACAGGATACAGCTGGTGTTTTAGAAGACATGTATCTCTGTAGAACTGTTGAATATAGGTCTCTTCTCTTCCTATGAAGGTTAAATGGTACTAAAAATCTAGCAAAAGGTCTTAAGAAGGTGAAACTAACACTCATTTTGAGAAAAACAAGCATGTAAGAAAACCCCTGTAAAAGAAAAAAATACAATGAAGAGTTAGATAAAGATTAAAAATCAAACCCCAAAACCCCCCAAATAACTGCAAATATAAATTTGAGACATTAAAATGCAAATGATTTCTGAAACACAAAGTGGAATCTTAGGACAATTATTTTTTCTTAGGCTCCTGGAGCCTGGAGCCTGTGATCACTCATGGGGCAAAAAGTTTAAATTTATTTTAGACATGAAGTTCCCTAATGTTTTAGGCAGACAGAAACCTTGAATATCCTTACTAGATTTGTATCTAGGAACTCAGGAGGATCAATATTACTGGATAACAAAGTTTTGTGGCTGAGATCATGCCATATTCTTTCCCATTTTACACTAAGTTTAGACAAAGACTTAAACACAAGACCCTTCACAAAAACAACACATGAAAACAAATGACAGAAAATTCACAGAATATGGTAACTTGTAAAAAGTAATTAAAGGCTGCTATACCAATGCAACGTATATCAAAATAAAGAGATCTATTGATTGAAAATAAATCCAACTCTTCCCTAATTCAGATTTTATTTTCCAGCAAATAATGTTATTGCCAAACACCATGTCCAAAATGATTTCAAATTTAAATAAAGCTTCACAATTTTATCTTACAGGTCTGTACACCCACAAGATGACACAAAGATGCTTAGAGATCTGAAACCAGTGTGAAATTTGAAACAAACAAAAAAAAAGGAATCCAATTTTTACAAAACACACACACATGAAAAGAAAAATTCCTTCTCTCCTTGGATTTGTTTAATGACCCTGCTCCTAAGTCTCCCATCTCTCTTACCACTTAAGTATCTTGAATGACTGTGCACTGATGACCAGATAGATGCCCACCCTTAAAGATGGGTATGCCTGAGTTCTGTCCTTAGTCCTTTTTTCAATCCATACATTTTCCCGATCTATTTCCCTTGCTTTAATCATCATGTATCAAACAGACACCTCAAATGAAAATAATACTCTGTCCTCCTCCTTTCCCAACCTGTGTTGTTTCAGAGGAGCCAATACTATTCATTTTAGTTGCTGGAGCCAGAAAATGGCAGCTATTTCATTGCTGTCCTTTCCTATACTCAGCATGCTAATGGATTTGTGTTATATTAATTTTACTATCTAAATACTGCTTGAATCCAGTAACTTCTCTCCAATCTCATTTTCTTAACTCTATCTCCTAGTCTCCAGATTTGCTCTCCCCCATCTCCAAGCCATTGTAGCCAGTCATTCATATTGCCTTCAATATTGCTGTCAGGTTAAAGTACAAACTTATTACTGTGACTCACATTTCTCTTGATGGTATCCTTTGTTTACTTTTCCAGCATAATCTCTAGTACTTCACCTCATACTTTTGAGCAAGTACTCCTATTAGTTTTTATAGCTTGCTGTTCCTCCCTATCATAGTATTTATAATATTATGTTGTAATTGCCTATTTACTTATTTGCCCCATTAGATGGTAAGCTCCATCAGGATAAGGACTGTGTCTACATTGCTAACATTTAATACCCAATGTCTGCTAATATTTGGTTCACAATAATCACTCAAGCTTTTTTTTTTAAATAAGTAACCTTAATTAAAAAAAAATTTGGATCATCTCTAAGGAAAACAAAACCAACTTCATCAACTAAGATGGTGGACTAGGCAGAAGGACTGCACAGACCCTCTTCAACAAAGAAAAGGGAAACCAATTAACACAAACACAGAAGATAATCTTGGACCCCTGAGCCTT